GACTACTGGATATCCTCTTTAGTGAACTGTCTCTTCATGTCTTTTGCCCATTTTCTAATTAGATTTTTTTTTCATGTTTAAGTTTTGAGAGTTCTTTATATACTTAAGGTACTAGTCCTTACTTGGATACAGTTTACACGTATTTTCTCCCTCTCTGTAGCTTGTTTTTTTATCCTCTTAACAGGGTCTTTCAACAAGGCAAGTTTTAAATTTTGAGGATGTTCATTTCAGCTTACCAATTTTTCCTCTTACGAATCATGTTTTTGGAGTCAAATATAAAACTCTTTGCCTAATCCTACATCCCAAAGATTTTCTTCTGAGTTTTTTTGTAGAAGTTTTATAGTTTTACATTTCATCTTAAATCAGTGATCCATTCTGAGTTAATTTTATAGGAAGTGTAAGACCTTTGTCAAGGTTTATTTATTTATTTTTTTGCATACAGATAGATACCCACTTACTCCAGCACCATTTATTGAAAAGGCCATTTTTCCTCCATTGAATTTCTCTTGCACTTTTTTTGAAAAATCAGTTGAGCATATTTATGGGAGGTCTATTTCTGTTTTTCTTTGTATTCTGTTCCAGTGACCTGTGTGTTTATTCTTCCACCAATATCATATAATCTTGAATATTGTAGCTCTATAATCTTAAAATTATGTGGAAAGATTCCTCCCGTTTCACTTTTTATTTCCAAATTGTTTTAGCTATTCCATTTTCTTTGCTTTTCTACATAAAATTGATAATAATCTTCTCTATGTCTACCAAAAAAATCTTACTGGAATTTTGACAGGAATTGAATTAAATTTATATGTTCATTTGAGGAGAATTGACACGTTTACTATTTTGAGTCTTTTAGTCCATGATTTGGGCATGTCCCTCCAACTATGAGTGCTTAGATCTTTGATTTCTTTCATTAGCATTTTGTAGTATTCAGCATATAAGTTTTGTACATGTTTTGTTAGACGTACCTAAGTTTTTCATTTTTTGAGCAATTGTAAATGGTATTGTATTTTTAATTTCATTGTCTCATGTTGATAGTGTTTATATATACAATTGATTTTTTATTAGTTTCAGGTGTACAAAACAGCACAGTGATTAGACATTTATATAATTTATGAAGTGATTCTCCCTGATAAATCTAGTACCCATCTGACACTATACATAGGTTTCACAATGTTGTTGACTATATTCCCCATACTGTACTTTACATCCCTGTGATTATTTTGTAACTAGCAATTAGTAGTTCTTAATTCTTCACTTTTCTCACCCAGCCGCCCAACTCCCCTCCCATCTAGTAACCAACAGTTTATTCTCTGTATCTATAAGTCCGTTTCCACTTCGTTTGTTTGTTTATTTTGTTCTTTAGATTCCACATATAAGTGAAATCATATGGTATTTGTCTTTCTCAGCCTGACTTATTTCATGTAACATAATACCCTCTCGGTCCATTCATGTTGTTGCAAATGCTAAGATTTCATTCTTTTCTATGGCAGAGTAATATTTCATTGTGTATACCCATATGTACAACTTCTTCTTTATCCAATTGTCTATTAGTGAGCATTT